CTGCGAATCATTTTGAACATGGCGCAGGTTATCCACGGCTTTCGAATCTTTTTGGATTGTCTTATGTATTTATAAGGAAAGTGATGTCTATACAATTGAAGTTATGTTACAAATCCCACGAAGTATGCTTCAACTGGCCGCGGACTAAGGTCTGCATTTCTAGCTGCCATCCTGGAGCAATCCTGGAGCGCCAAATACTGTATAGACCAACTAGCATTATGAGGTCGTACCGCACAAGCTCATGAGAAGTAATTGGAAGAAAACGAATCGATTATGACATTATTTCTAAGTCCTTTTTCAATGTCCTCTGTAACACGTCCGAAAACAAAAGGGCGTCCCAACAAAAAATAAATACATGCGCTATGGTCTCAGGTGTTTTACACAGTAGGCAGTTGGTGGTCTAAGGATAGGATGTTCTACGCACCGAACCTTCTACGCTGAATGTTCCAGAATCCTAGGCGTGTACAGAAGGGGCTCCGCCTGGCAAGCTGAATCAGTCTCGCCCCAGCGTGCGACTCTGCTGTTACGCCGACTTCGTCGCCCACGACGCTCTGCTGTTATCTTCTGTTTACTTTTTTGGGGGGTACAAGTTTGCCCCATTAAACGCTTCAGTTTCTTTCGTTATTCCTTGTTTGTCACATCGTCATTCGTGACAATATAAACAACCTCACATGGAAGTTACATCATGCATAACTTTGCAACTGGCACTAGTAAAGAGAAAGTAGAACTAAAAAATACATAACTTAAGGCGTTTGCAGTTTGAATGTAACCAGAAAGTAACCACCTTCTACAAGATTCGCTTTCGTCCATTGCCTGGGGGAGGGCGGGGCTTGCACCGTTTCTTCCTCCCGTGAACTGGGGTCCAGTCGGGCCCCTCCTCTACGAGGTCCGAAGGCCTCTTTGAGGGGTCAGCGCCGTCATCCATTTCCAGGTCGTCTTCGGACGTGATGTCCGAATGGTGATCGCTCATGCAAGCTGGCTTTGTTAACTGGCCCTTCGAAGGGTCCGAGGAGGCACCGTCGACGTTCGGACTGATGCTCCCAGCCGCAGGGTTGTCAGCTGCCAGGCAACTTAGCAAAATGTTGTCGCTCTCCCGCGCTAGTTCTCCCTCTCGACCGGCAAGAGGACTAGATGAGATGGTGTCGTTCTTCCGGATAGGTCACTTTCACGACCAGCTTGACAATTAGACGCCAAAGTGTCGTCCCCTCGTGCAGGGTCTCTCTCACGACCAGCTGGACAACTTGACAAGGTGGTATCGTTCTTCCGTTCTAGGTATTCTTGTCGTTCGTCTGGAACCTCTGGGTCACCGGTAGTGACTGGATGTCGCATGTCGTCTTCGCCTTTCTCAGCTTCTTCTTCATCGATGAAGAACTCCGAGTTGTCTTTCCCGAGAGCAGGCAGCATCACGGTGGCATATGTTCGAATGCAGCCCTCTTGCTCGTGGATGCATAACGATTGCACTTGTCGCAGTGGGGAACTTGACACTCTCTGCGAATGTGGCCTGTCCTTTTGCATCGGAGGCAGTGTGGTGCTTTTCCTGGAACGACGACCAGAACCTTTCTGCCGAACATACCCAGCTGGTGCGGGAGGCGATCTTTTGTTGTGCCCACCTTGAGGTTAATTTTAACAAATCTCGTTGTCGTCTGTACATTCTGGAAACATTCCACCCTCCACAAGTCTCGGCACACTTCGTTCACCTTCCCGTAAGGCCCCAAGGCCCTCCGTACTGCTTCGTCGCTTATGTGAATCGGTATCCAGTGCAGTCGTAGTCGGACCTCACATTCATCAGGGTCGATGAGCAAACAACATTTTTCTTTCACGACCAATTTTTTTGCCGCAAGAAGCTTCCTCTTCGCAGTCAGAAAGTTAAACGTGAAGAGCCAAACATGGTTCATTTGGTACTGGCCAGCTCCAACCAAATCTTGTAGAACGCCATGGCGTTCCATTTGTGTTCGGAAATCATCTATCTTGTATGGGCATCCGGAGGTGTCGCAATGCGCAAATACACAGCTCAAAACTGCGGTACCTGTGGGCAGAGACGGCAAAACCACTCGGTAGGATTCCTGAGCATTTAAGTAGATGAACCACGGCCGCGGTGAAAGCCGTTGCAGACGCTCCTCGGGAGCTCATCAAACTTGCAACCGTTCCGAACGGTGTAACGCGCTTCCTCCTGCGCTAATGGGGAAACTCTTCTATTGGTAATAATGCAGCCGGCCAACTGTAAGTTGGAAAGTTTGCTGCCGATTTTCCTCCTGCAAAAGCATTCCCGGGTCGAAGTCGGGCAGCACCACGCATTGACCACATTCGCAAATAGTAAAGAAATCGTTCGCGTGCGTATTCAACTTGAAGCACACACTTCGTGCTTGACGCTTGCGCGAGTGATGTTTTCAGCAACGAAAAGGGGGCGACGGCTCGGCGACGTCTTCGTGCAAATCGGCTTGGTGGTTGGGCGTGTCGTACGGGATAACCAATCTTTTTGATCGGTCCCAAATTTATCTTTCAAAGGCAGACAGAATTTGCTGGTACCGCGAACGATAGTACTGAAGTAGAGGTTCCACGCCCGTCGTCCGCTGCCATCGCATTCCCACGATACGCGAAACGACGCCATGTTGAGAATTACGCAGGGAACGAACGCACAGAATGCTTCCGGTTCTCTGTGCAACTTTTTTTTTTCAATCAACGTATTTGCAGGTTTTTAGAAGCCACAAAAAAAATGGACTTCACATTTTTTTTTTCTATTTTTAATATTTAGAGTGTGCCTTCAATGACCAACGACTTTGATTAAATTTGGCGGTTGTGTCTAAACCTTAGAAAACGGCCCGTGACCACGGAAAAGAGAGTGAGCGAGACTCGATCGAACCGGCCAGTTCTTGATCGTCGGTTTTCGGGCGGAAAGAAACTGAATTTCGAGCCGCAAATTCTGTTCTGGGTAGTTGGGCTCTCATATGTCATGTACAACTAAAAACCTCGGCGAGCATAAATACCCTGTCAGTGTCCCTTTAAATTTGAAAAGCGGAACGAGTAAGTGTTCACTATTTTGCTATAACTCATTTGGACATTATCCATACTTAAAAACTCGGTCAGGGCCGAGTGCTATAAAGTGACCACACAATAGTCAAAATGCCAATGACCACAGCTGTAAGTCTTCTCACGTGCTTGGATTATTCTGTGCCTTGTCATTCTGCATGTCGGGCCATCTGCGAAGTAACACGCCGATGACAACACCGCTTATGACCAGCTTCAATGAGGCTGGTCAAAACTTGGATTACGCTTAAAGAGATGCTGAACCAAACATTTCAGTGTCTATAATAAATGGCGCACTATCTCTCTATGAGTCAGCAGTCACCGGTGTGCGCGAGCACACGCAATGACGTCATCATATCCCCCATTCACGCTGAATAAGCTTTAAGAGTGGAACGCGATGCGTAATCGGGGCTCCGTTCGCATCGCCTTTTCATTCGCTATGCAAGCGTGCCTTGCGTGATCTAGAAATATTAGGGAGTTTTCGTAGACCGCGCTGCCCCTCCGCTAAGCCTTCCGCAACAAAGAAGTTGCTACTGCGCCTGCGCGCCGATAGCCTTGACTGTGGAGTTCCCGCTATCGTAGCGGGTTGCGGAGGGCCTTGGGGGGTGGCGCTACGTCTGTTGGTGTCAGTACATAGCACGTACGCCGTGTATACGCAGCGCAGGTCCACATTTTTGTAACAGAAAAGATAGGAGCTCGGGACGTTTCTATGCGGACTTTAAGGGTCAAGGGTGTTCCGACATCAGGGTGAATTGATCACTCGGCGTCTATAGAGTTTCAATTCGCAATTAATTATTAGTGTTAAGAAAACATTACAAACTTCTATAGTTTGGAAACTAATAAATGATTGTCAAAGGAATCACGCTATACATGTAAGCTCTTGGCGGACGACCGTTTTACTAGGTTTGGTGTAATTTTTGCACGTCGTGGTTTACCACCACGTGCCGCGTCAGCAGTTCTAACGTCTCTCCAGACTGGCAACACGTACACTATCGAATTCGGTGTCATCATGCACATTTGGTTGTTGAGAAAAAGTTTATCGAAGGAAAGATTTACTTGATCATTTGCTGTTCCTTACGATTTCCCGAAATCCCAAAGCTTTTTTCGAATTTGCCACACTCTTGGCGAGTAACCTTCTTCGATCCACACTCAAGGCCCGGGCCAGTTGGCCTTAGCCTTGACGCACCAGAAAAGATATCTTGCTTACTTTTAAAGTTGTGAAATTTAGCAATAACTGGTCTAACAAAGCCTTCCTCTGAAAGTTCCTTGATGGGCTTTTGAAAAGTGTCTACTAACTGGAATTAGACGCCGCGCGTACAATTGAAATTAATAAACTCTTTTCAAAAACCTTTTATGTGTCACCATTTCTAAGGCAAGAACTTGAAGCATGCGACTGGATTCGAGTCCTTGCCGAACACTGACGCTGCACTCGTTTTCGATGCGAGCTGAGCCGAGAGCCTGAGACCAAGCTGAACGCTGATTCAGCCCTCGTGCCCAATACATGCTCCGAGTGCGTGCCCAAATAATGGCAGGCTCGGATAATTGGTGGAGTATGTACTAGATGGCGCGTACGTTTGAGAAACAAAAAAATGGTTATATTGAAGTCTGGTTACATTTCCCATCTAGAGCGTGACCCATTCACCATTATCTTGACAGACCAACCTCCCGCTATCTAAACATCTAAAGTCAAATTTGCTTCATTTGAGGAGTCGTTTTCTTAGCTGAGGAATGTTTGGAAAGTAGATCAAAACCTGAAACTTAAGAAAGTTTTTTAATAGAAATGTCGAGGAGCTCGGCGAAAAAATAAAAGGATGTCTTGCCTTTCCTTTTTGCGAGATAAAATAAAAGACATCTGAAGAAATCGATTTCTTGTCCCATCGTCTTTTTAGGGACCCCAATCACGACGCATGACTACACAAATTATGCACTCAGTGTTTTATTTGTGTTAAACTTCATCGATGCTCGCTGGTTGGTTCTTATTCAATGGGCCTTGTGTGGCAGCATGCCGTCTCGTTGAAGACGTCATATTTTGGTCTAACGGCAGAGGAACCAGGAATCTCGGGATCCTGTTCGTAGGCAGAACGGCACTTTGGGTTTATATTTGTAAGATTCGGCCTGCCAATCGACCACAACTCGTACACTGAAACAAAAAAATTGTTTATTATTATTGCTTTCATCGTAGTAGTATCAGCGTTATTTCTCCAACTAAGACAGCCGATGCCGTAATCGACCCGCTAGGACGATTACGGCATCCAATGTCATCTCTGCTTAAAACATGGCTGCACACGAGGAGAGAAATAGCAACATGAAAGAGTGTCCGGGCCCCGGTGAAGCCATGTTTCAAATAAACTCGCTCGAGAAGCTTTGCGCCTGTTCGGCAGTGAAGATATCCGCAAACACAGTATCTATATAGTAGAGAGTTTAGGGAACCGTTTTTGCACATCCTATATGGTCCGATCGGGCCTCCGGTACGGACTGAGCATGCGCTACCACAGTAGTGCCCTGTTTGTACATGAGGGCCCAACGTCTCATATAGGAGATGCAAACACGGTAACCTAAACCTCTCTAATATGTGTTCTCGACGGTTCGATAGCCATTATGGAATAATGTTTCCAAATGACGATAATAAAATTCGCGGGAAGACTACAACTTGCTAGTCCACATTGTGCAAGCCTGACAAGTAACTGGACATGGTTTATAAGAATATGGACTGGCATATGTTAAATATATAATTAGGGTCGCTGTAGGAATTTACTTAAACCAACGCCGGGTTCCTACTGGATATTTTCAGATAAGTTCGGCCGACCATATCCAGTGACCATTTCTAATTTTTACGAAAAAAAATATCCTGTAGACTCAATGCCCATCAAAACAAAACATACCATGTTTTGCACAAAAAAAAAAAAAAAAAAAAAAGTCCTTGCGGAAAAAAAAAAAAAATTACAAACACACTCTCAGGTCGAAGCGCTTTCTGCGAATTGCGCGAAGTTTGCATTTGGGTCACTTCTCCCCAAAAAAAAAAAACTGTTGTGGTTGCCGGTCTAGAAATATTTACTGAAAACTATGTGTAAGGAGCATTGACTCAAAATATTTATCATAAAGTATAAACGTTGTTAATTTCTAGAAAACAAATTACAACCATGGAACTTTCAAACATTGTGAATATGTTGTCCTGCATCTTTTTAATAGTGGCGCTAAATATGATTTTCCCGGGTAGCGAAATAAATTTGTGAGAAACGCTTAGATGGGGTCATTTCATAATTACGAGTTATTTTGAAGCAATTAAAAAAACATTCATCTTCGATTGTTTAAACCTTTTCCACATTAAGGCCAATGATAGGTACTAACACAACCTGCAAGACATGTGGCATTATTTTTGTGTCTTAGAAGTTATAAAGCTAGAAATATGACCAAATCGAGGCTACCAGCACCGTGTAAATAGCCATAGATGACAAATTCATTATTTTACAAAGTGTAAAAATGCTCCAGGGTGGTGAAAAAGAAACAAATGGATGACACAGAGGGGGATGGTGGTTTTAAATTTTGAATTCTTAGTGCGTTTTTGTACAAGAGTCGAAGAAAATGCTTGCGGTCCGGGGCGTTCGAGAGGCTCTCTCAATAAGCATCGATGATTAACATCGTATATTTCGAGTCAGTCTTCCTTATACATAGTTTGTGAGTAAATCTGTCTAGAGCCATTGCCATAAGAATTTCGTGGGGAGAGGTGTGCGAAATGCCAACTTCGCGCAATTCGCGGGAAGCGCTTTGCATTGAGAGTGTGCTTCTAATTTGTTTTTTCCGCAAAGACAAACATTTTTTTTTTTTTTTTTGCAAAACAAGTTTAGGTTTTGTTCTGATGGGCCTTGAGTGCACAATATATACCTTTTTCGTAAAAATTAAAAATGGTCCCCGGACATGGTCGGCCGAACTTATCTGAAAACATCCTACTGTGTTTAGCTGAAGTCGTGAAACGTCTGCCAACATCTTATGCTGCCGCAGTCTTCGTTCACCGCGCACAACCCTCGAATTGAGTTATTTTTATTGTGTCTTTGGCTCGCGCCCCAAAGGTTGTACCAGAGCACCCCTATTTATACTTGCCACCATTCTTCGTCACGACATGATAGACATGCGTATTATGTTTTTGCTTCAAATCAAGTCTTCCTAATTTCTTTGTGTTATAACAGTCGCCTGTTAAAGAAGTGATGTGAACGGAACAACAATTGGAAGAATGAAGTCATTCATTGCATCTTTATAGTACACGAGGTCTGATTAAGAACCAATGAAACTGCTTGTTTTTCTTTGCAAGAAGGTAGACGGGCAGCGTTGTGCTAATGTTTACGAAGGTAATACATCCACATTCGTTTCTTTTCCTGTGTCCTTTTTTAACTTTTTTTTTCCCTGTGTCTTTTTTTTATTTATCGTTCTGACGCAGCGAACGAAGACACCTCAGAACCACCCATGTCATCATGGCGGATGACAGAGATGTATTTGTGAGAGTATGGCGGAGGCGAAGAGTTAAGTTTAAGGCAGTGGTAACAGCACTGTAGCACTCGTAATATTGCCCGGATTCATCACTGTATAAATCCTAACCATTTTCAACATTGATCGAAAAAAATAAATGAACGGAAGGACGTTTTTTTTTTTTTGTACGATGAAATGAACAAAGTTGCAGCTGCAACGCTGAAAGTGGTGTGGTAAAACATTATTGTACATTTTTTTTAAAATTGAATTTTAGACATTAAAACAAGTATATTCGATGTAAAGGATGATACTTTGGAAGAGGGAACAATAATCAGAGCCTGTAGAGCCACCCATTTGGGAACAAAATATTCGGTCTGATTACTTTTCAAATGGCACTCGTCAAATTCAAATGGAAACAAAACATTTCTTTGAAGTGACGTTTCACTCAAAGGACTGTTTTCAGCTCAAGATGTTAAGGAACACAGAATGCTAATAATTAAAAAAAATCCGTTTCTTAGTAATGGGCCTCAAAATTTAGTGGGTCAGTAAAGAACTTGATTGCCTCTGGTTCGCCACATTAGATCAAAGAATAGTAATTGAAGACTAAGCAACCTGCATAGAACTATCGTGTCTTCTTTATTTTTTTTTATTTGATACTTCATACTTTGTTTAGCTTATTCAAAATAAAAAAATGCTGATACTTCATTATGCGAAACGAGTACAAAAGGGGAATTCTTGCTTACCACCATCCGCGGGTCTTCTCACGGCGAAGCAGGTCGAATAGTCGGTGAAGAGCAGATCACTATATATCGGTCTTTCGCCTAACTGATAAAGAGGAATCGGGTGTTCTCAACATATATCGTGTAAATCACATTGTTAACAACTGCAATGCTATAAAATTATCCATTTAATCACCTAATCAAACCAGTTTCTAGACTAATTAGTTCTACGCTGTCATAGACCTAAAAAACAAACCCCTGTTTGGCTGTCGCTTCAAATTTACAGTATGAGCTATGCTCATTTAGCCAATCCATTCGGCGATTCTCTTCTGGACGCCGCCATTTTGGGGCTTAGGTTCTTTTCAAAAGTCCACCAAGCAACATTGAGCGTCGGCCACGAAGCGTATGGTTGGATCCGAGTCCTCGCCGAGCGCTGACGAAACCCTCGTGCCTAACGCACGCTCAGAGTACGTGATCAAGAAATGGCGGACAGGCGATGGCGCGGACTTTCCATAAAGGGTCTTCATCGTTACGATTTGAAAAGGCCACTTCCTGAGCTCGAGACAGGCGCGATATTGTTTTGGCTCTGTCCCGGATCGTTTTAACATTTCTGGACGGCGGAAAAGCGCTTCCTGCGATTTCAGATAACTTTGCTTCAGGGAACTGGCAACCATGATTTTAAGCACCAAAAGCACCTGGAACGATTGGAGTCTTTCGCCGAGTTGGCATTATGAACCTTATGCCCACATGAGTATACCACCAGGGATACTAAATAGGCGACGCTTTGCAGTAACGGCACTTCGACCACCTTGGTGCTTAAATTCATGGTTGCCAGCTATCTGAGGCGTGATTTGAAACAGCGGGAAACGGTTTCCCGTCCTTCATAAATGTTAACACAGTACGTGACGGTACAAAACAGTGGCGCCTGAGCCTCCTGAAGTCGTACCTACAGCTCAGGAAGCCACATTCTCGAATCGTAACTATCGCCAAAGGACCTATCTCACTAGCCAGTTTCGTTGCACCACCGCTGCCGGCGTGCATCCTGGGAACCAGACACGTAGCCAGGCCCCCCCCCCCCCCCCCGAAACAAAATCCTGGCTACGTGCCTGCTGGGAACAGTAGTTTCTACACGCGCGAAAACCCCGCTGCGGGATATGCACGAGCAGAACACGAGATGGCGCAAGCTGTCTCGTACTCTGGCATTTGTCGCCTGTGAGGTATACAGCCATGGCGGCGTCACGTATGAGTGGAACGCTTAGTGAGATCGGTCTATTCCGCCCACTCGGCACTAAGCATCAAAATGGCGGCGCCCAGAAGGGGGTATTGAGTGCCGTACTCTAAGCGTAGCTTCCTTAGTGGCCCTAGGTACCACCTCGTAATCTCTTGAAGCATGAAATGCTTTTTAACGCTAACCCCGATCCCAAAATGTTGTCCGTTCAGCCGTCCGCACATTTCATGCCAAATTTAGCGGGGAAATTGATATCACGTGACCGAAACATAACTTTGGTTTCCCCTCTAAATTTAGGGGGAAAATTGATGTCACGTGACCTGACATTATAAGATATGTACACCAATTGAGTTTCCCCCCTAATTTGTTTTTGTGGAGAATCGACCCCGCGTCACCTTATGTCACCTGACGTCCTCTTACGTGACTTGAGCTCACCTGACCCATACACAAATTTAGTTTTCCCGCTAAATTTGGCGATGAAATTGATTTCATGTGACCCATACACCAGTTTAGTTTCCCCGCTAAATTGGTGAGGGACTTGATATCACGAGACCTGATGTAACGTAACCTATGCACACATTCAGTTTCCCCGCTAAATTTGGCGGGAAAGTTAATGTCACGTCACCTAATGTCACGTAAGCCATACAACAGTTTAGTTCCCGCTAAACTGAGCGGGAAAAGTAACGTCACAAGGTCCCACATCACGTGACCGATATATATATACCAGGTTTTTTTTTTTTTTTTCATTCTTAAACACTTGTTTAAAAAAAACGTGAAAGAATGCTAATAATAACTAATGCGGTCTGTGCCGGTGGGTTATATGGCCAGGCGGACATTATGTGGGTGGCTAATCTTTGCGATAAGTCGGCTAATTAATTAAAATTCGTCGATTAACTTTTTAATTAGTGGAAATAGACATATGATTTCAATTAGAAACTTGTAGAGCATCATCGAAAACCACTAAATCAACTATTTTTGCAAGGATATAACGCCGGGAAAGCATTTTACGGCGTTCTGTAAAAGCGTTCCATTTGGACGCGTTTCTAAATTTCGGTTTCTTATCGGAGCGCATCACCGCGCCCGCGGTTGATGCGCTCCGATAAGAAACCTATACTCAACCTGAGTGAATATAGTTTTTTAAACAAATTAAACTGATCGCTTCATAAATACTGCATTTCACCTCGTAACTTTTTTCTGCCCTTGCGTGTTTTTTTTTGTTTTTTTTTATACATAACCATGACTCATATTTTTACTTATTTCTAGTGAATGCTGGCAGTTTTAAAGGTTTCTCAATCCTTATACAGCTCTATGCTGCTGAAAAGAATCAACCTTGAGGTTGCCCAACAATCATTTTTTGGACTGAGAAAAATCCCAATAACGCATGTCATTTTACCCCGCGTTAGATTTCGGAAAGACATTAGGGGCTTACATAAACTGCCAGGATTTTGATTGTCATCGAGTCATCGTATGGGAGAATTTCGTTAGATTTATTCGGATAGATCACGATAAAATGTCGGTTTCTGGAATATAAAAGAAAGAAAAATACAATGCATTTGTGGATTAAGGCTTGAAACATGCTCTAATTCTTGAATGATTGACGAAATCAGCTCTTAAACTTATATTGGGGCTGTGTAGCGAATTTTGTACTTCCTTCGAGCCCTTCAGCGGTCCTGAAGAGCTCGAAGCAGCTCCAAGTTTGTAAATAGGTATAGAAGAAGAGGAGGAAGGCTTTAATGCAGGTTGTAAATAAGGAAAAGGGCTTCAATCTTCAATTCTATCAAAATATTGAACCCAGGATCCTGGGTTCAAGCCCCGCCCCTTCCCGTTTCCATCTGGTTGAGCATCGTACCGGCATGTGGTCATGTATCATTACTGCATGGTGCACGTTAAAGACCCCAGGCTAGCGGTTGTACCGCGCCTGGCTAAATTGCTCATCTACAGCTGAGACACCAGACGCCCACTGAGGCAGACTAACTTCCGGCTGTATAAACAAACACACAACACAACAACAATTCAATCTAGGTTGTAAATACTGAGAGTAGTGAAGGAAGAAGGATTTAACATTGTTGATAGTTCAGCGGTTGTAAATTTTCTGTGTTTATTACTGTTCAGATGGCACCACCCACGAAATCTTCCGCGAGTTACTCCGGCGGGTCATGGCGCGTGACCATCCAGAGCGAACAACGCTGGACGCGGGTAGGTTTTCAAACGTCAAGGTCCCAAAGCGTTACTCGAGAGCAACGCTCGAGGATGAGGTCGAGTCGAATCCGCCATGCTGTTCCTAACCGGAAACAGAACGCGGGCACGGACCATTTATGGAGCGCGTCGGCTCATCAATCGTTGTCGCTACTTAGCAAAGCATTTATCGAGGGACTTTAGAATATGTAGGCCTCAGCAGGTGTGCTCGTTACGTGTTATTTTGAAAGCCTCTGAAACTTACGGACTTGAGTATTGAGGAGTTGCAGAGGAGACCCTTGGTCCTGACAAGCGTTTCTCTTGAGTAAAACCAACAATTAAGCAAAGCAAGGGGCGTTGGCACATTCTCGTTTATTTATACCAAAGCAGAGTTGCTCTAAGAAATATTGAAACAAGAATGGATACGTACATATGGCCTTTGTGATGCACGTAAAAGAGCCTCCTAAGAACTGAGACAGTTTCCCGGTTTTCAAAACCATCGCCATGCCTCGTTTGAGTGCACTGTGCGTCGGGCAAGGCAGAATCGTTTCTTTCAGAACGGTAGAGAAGGTAAAACGTCTGGTTTATAGACAACAGCTGCAACCAAATAGTAACACGTCAGAATTAGACTTCAAAACCCTTCTAAAAATGCGCTACTTTCTACTTTTAAAGGGACACTGACACCTCCGAAATTTTGTTTTTATTTTTTGCCACGCGATCTAGTATGGTGTGAGAAGACTACCCAATCAATATTTGGCTAGAGTGTCACATATATTTTTAATAAAGTAACAAAAAATGAAAGCCGTTTACAACTCCCTGTAATGCCGATTTAGAGCGCAGCTCTTGAGGAGGAGGAGGGAAGGGTACCGGGGGGGGGGGGGGTCAAGTGACCTCGGGGGGCGGGAAGTCACGTGACCTTGGGGCGTCACGTGACGTCGGGGGGGTCACGTGACGATGCCGATGACGTCATCAGTGATGATGACGATGCGGATTCCGGTGACGTCATCAGTGACGTCACTGATGACGTCATCACTGATGATGACGATGCGGATGCCGATGACGTCATCACTGACGTCACTGATGACGTCATCAGTGGCTATGACGTCAACGGGTGGTCACGTGACCTCGGGGGGTATCCCCAGGACACGTGACCCCCCCCCGGGGTCACGTGACCTGGGTAACCATCGTGACCCTCGTGAGGGTAACCCTAGTAACCCTTGTGAGGGCAACTCTCGTGACCCTCGTGAGGGTAACTCTCGTGACCCTCGTGAGGGTAACTCTCGTGACCCTCGTGAGGGTAACTCTCATAACCCTCGTGACCTTCGTGAGGGTAACCCTCGTGAAGGTAACCCTTTTGAGGGTAACTAACCCTTGTAACCCTCGTGAGGGTTACGAGGGTAAGTAACCCCCGTGGAGGGTAACCCTCGTGAAGGTAAGCCTTTTGAGGGTAACTAACCCTCGTAACCCTCGTGAGGGTTACGAGGGTAAGTAACCCTCGTGAGGGTAACCCTCGTGAAGGTAACCCTTTTGAGGGTAACTAACCCTCGTAACCCTCGTGAGGGTTACGAGGGTAAGTAACCCTCGTGGCCCTCGTGATCCTCGTGAGGGTAACCCTCATGATATTAACCCTCGTAACCCTCGCAACCCTCACGAGGGTTACGAGAGTTGCGGTTACGCCGACGCCGACGCCGACGGCGACGCCGACGCCGACGCCGACGCCGCTCAAGCCGGGAACGGGCCCCCAAGAGCTGCGCTCTAAAAAAACTGCTGGAAACTGAAACCGAGCTGGACTGTGGAGGAAGAAGAAATATAGAGAAGGAGGAAGATACCGGAAGTCGCGTGGCTGTGCCCCCTTTTTTCCTCAATCAAAGTTTTGCAGAAGTCACAAAAAATGGATATCATATTTTTTTGTTTATTTGTAGTATTGAGTGTGTGCCTTCGATGACCTACTACTTTGATTATCTTTGGTGGTTGTGTCTGAACCATAGAAAACGGCACGGGACCGCAGAGAAGAGAGTGAGCGCGACTCAAACCGGGTAGTTCTCGATCGGCGGTTCTCGGGCGAAAAAAAAAAACGAATTTCCAGCCGAAAATTGTGTTCGGGGTAGTTGTATTTTCATATATTATGTACATATAAAAACCTTGGCGAGTATAAATACCCTGTCAGTGTTCCTTTAAAGAAAGCTAGCTCCTCAAGTCTCAGAGAAAGAAAAACAAAAAATGAAAGCCGTGTACAACTCCCTGTAAAGCCGGATTAGAGCGCAGCTCTTGAGGAGGAGGATGGAAGGGTTTTGAGGAATAGCTAGCAAAATTTAAAAAAAAAAAGTGAAAGCCGTTGACAACTTCCTGTAACGCCGAATTGGAGCGCAGCTCTTGAGGAGGAGGAGTGGAGGGTATATTCCTCCTCCTCCCTCGTGATCATGCCTGCTAGTCCTCCTCCCCTCCTGCTCCCCCTCCCTCTCCTTTACCACCTCCTCGTCCTTCAAGCTCCTCCCCTCCCCTCGCCTCCGCCTCCTCGTCTCTCCTCCCCCCTCCTCCACCTTCGTACTGCTTTCCTCCTTGCCGCTCAAGCCGGAAAGGGTCGCGTAAGGGCTGTGCTCTGAAATATAGAGTCAGGAGGAGGAGCGGAGGGGGAGGAGGAGGAGGGGGAGGGGCGACGCCGACGCCGACGCCAACGCCGACGCCAACGCCGACGCCGACGCCGCACAGGCTGGAAACGGGTCATGTGACCCCCCTCCCCCCGAGGTTACGTGACCCGCCCGGACCATACTACACAATGAGGGGAGGAGGAGGAGAAGGAGGAGGATGAGGGGAGGAGAGAGGGAGGGGCGACGGCGACGCCGACGCCGCTCAGGCTGGAAACGGGCCCCTAAGAGCTGCGCTCTAAAAAAATATGTATGCATGCAAGATGGCCGTCCGGTGGCCGCACTCGCGCTGCAGCAAACAGGCAGGAATGCGCGATCCAGCAATTGTCATAGATATCAATGGGTCCAGCCGAACACCAAACGTACCATTCCTGTCCAATCTGTGTCAGCTCACTGGTGCCGTCTAGTGCCACTAAATACGCTACGCTTCAAAGTAACATTATTTACCGAAATTGTGGCTTAATCATAGTTCCGAGTTATCTGAAGTTTTAGAGCGCAGCTCTTAGGCGCCCGTTTCCGCCTTGAGCGGCGTTGCCGTCGCCGTCGGCGTAACCGCGCGGTGCATTATGGGTAAATTTCCCCGCTAAATTTAGCGGAAAAATTTCCCCGCTAAATCTAGCGGAAAATTTTCCCCGCTAAATCTAACGGAAAAATTTCCCCGTTAAATCTAGCGGAAAAATTTCCTCGCTATATCTAGCGAAAATTTTCCCTGCTAAATTTAGCGGAAAAATTTCCCCGCTAAATCTACCCACCAAGGTCACGTGACCTCGGGGGGGGGGGGGGTCACGTGACCCCTCCCCCAGTTCACGTGAAACCCCCCCCCCCCCCCCCCCCCGAGAACTCGTGACCGTCAGTACCCTTCCCGGCTCTTCCTCAAAAGCTGCGCTCTAATTCGGCGTTACAGGGAGTTGTAAGCGACTTTCCTTTTTTTTTAGAGTGCAGCTCTTAGGCGCCCGTTCCCGGCTTGAGCCGCGTCGCCGTCAGCGTCGCCGTCGGCGTAACCGCGAGTAACCCTCGTAACCCTCGTGAGGGTTACGAGGGTTAATCTCACGAGGGCTACCAGGGTTATTAACCCTCGTAACCCTCACGAGGGTTACGGGTTAGTTACCCTCAAAAGGGTTACCTTCACGAGGGTCACAAGGGTTACCCTCACGAGGGTTATGAGGGTTACCCTCACGAGGGTCACGAGAGTTACCCTCACGAGGGTCACGAGAGTTACCCTCATGAGGGTCACGAGAGTTGCCCTCACAAGGGTTACTAGGGTTACCCCCACGAGGGTCACGATGGTTACCCAGGTCACGTGACCCCCCCCCTCGAGGTCACGTGACCCCTCGTTGATGCCATCGCCATTGATGACGTCATAAGTGGCGATGACATCAACGGCATCCGGATCGTCATCGGCATCATCACTGATGACGTCACCGGCATCCGCATCGTCATAATCACGACGACGTCATCAGTGACGTCACTGATGACGTCACCGGCGTCTGCATCGTCATCATCATCATCACTGATGACGTCATCAGTGACCTTACTGATGACGTCATCGGTATACGCATTAGGATCGTCAATGATGACGTCATCAGTGACGTCGCTGATGACGTCGTTGGCATCGTCACGTGACCCCCAGGTCACGAGACCCCCCCGACGTCACGTGACACCCCAAGTTCACGTGACTCCCACAAGGTCACGTGACCCCCAAGGTCACGTGACCCCCCCCCCCGCACCGAGGTCACTTGACCCACCCCCAGTACCCTTCCCTCCTCCTCCTCAAGATCTGCGCTCTAATTCGGCGTTACAGGGAGTTGTAAACGGCTTTCATTTTTTTTTCTGAAATCACAGGAAACGCTTTTCCGTGCTCCACAAATGTTGAAACAATTCGACAAAGCACGAAGCAATATTACATGAGCTTTCTTACACCGAACGTGATGCTGAAGAAGTCTGACTTTTGAATAGTAACGATCGGCAGTTACGTCTGCTCTGCACAAGCACCAAGGTGGCGGCACGTGCAACAATATCGGGGAATAGAGCGCCGATGTTCTAAGCGTAGCTCATTTTGGTGAGTGCCGTCAAAATGCCAGGGCATAGGCTTTAATTACCCTCAGGTGGTGTTGCTGGAACGCGCCTTCGACTGGCGTGTTTACTACGTCTTCATGTTAGCCCTATCGATTCTCAGCTAGTGACGTCACATATTTTTTTATGCCGCGGTGCTCGTCGCCATTCATGCGGGCAAACAGCCGGCCAGTCAGTGGACGCCACGACGACAGTGACGTTTTCCCACTTGATGAATTCAAGTGGGAAAACCGCGCAGCCTCGCCGTTTTCCCACTTGAATTCGGAGTTTGGGAGGGGTGGCTGGCGCCATCTATCGTCGTGGAAGCCCGTCCAGACGGCAGAGGCAGCCGTCTCTCCTGCCTTGGCGAATCCGGTATATCGGTGCGTCGGCGGCAGCCCTCTCCCTCGGCGTGGTGCGACAGCGTGGGCAGGGCGATGTGCATGCGTTCGCTCGGACGCGGGGTTTATCTGCCGCTTGGGGAGGATTTGGCGTCATAGGCGCGCTGTCTAATGCAAATGAGCGAAGTAGAATTTATTCGCCTAATAAAGTATTTGAACCAACCATTTCCAAGAGTACCTCAATCTTTGTTTGGCAGGGTCCCAATGTATACCGAAGCACCAAACGAATCCAAATGATTCATTTGGATTCGAAGCCACTTGGTTCGACCTAACCGGAGCCACTTTGAGTCGAAAAGTTCGTCTGCTAAAGACGCCGGCTCTCGGCGCCGTATGCTCGTTCGTTGGCGGCAGTTGGCGTCGCGACCGCTTGCGCCATCTCTTGTCTCCCGCGCGAAACGGCGCCGTATTGTTTGGAGACCGATGGCTTCGCTGCGTTTCCATAGGAGCTAAGCCTTTTTCTTTCCTTACTTTTTCCTCGGGTAAGTTAGCTCTTTGCAAATTTTACAGAAACAAATGCACCATCTGTGGGCAACGCTGCACAAAGTCGTAGCGCGATAGGTTAAGAAATCAAATTGTGCGGTCGATTTAAAGAGCCTGGCCGCCTCTTGAATCACCCAGTATATACTGAACAGACAAGTCACCCCTTTACCATGTTTTCCGCGACTACTTTTTAGGCCCGGAGCAAAGATCCTTGGTTGGTCATTGGCCACATAGGCATTCCAGAGCTTCGTGTCATCAAGGTGAGTAAGTGCGCGCTGGATTTGAAAGCTTTTCTGACTGTCGATGGTGACATTCAGCGGATGGGGACATGAACGGCCATCCTCACAAAACGTTCCAGCTTCTCCTGGGTTTTCTCTCTTACCGGCACGTTTCATTTGTGGCGTCATCAGAACGCGCAAATGTGCCGGGAACATTTGCATCGACATGACATATGCCGGCAGCCGGGTTTTACCCAGACTGATGTCACCAGAAATGACGAAAACAGAAGTCCGGCGTCCAGCTGACAAGACACCGCACATCAACTTCAAATAGCGCGAATGTGCTGGATATTAGGGAGTTTTCGTAGACCGCGCTACCCCTTCCGCTAAGCGTTCCGCAACGAAGAAGTTGCTACTGCGCCTGCGCGCCGATAGCCTTGACTGTGGAGTTCCCGCTATCGTAGCGGGTTGCGGAGGGCCTTGCGGGACGGCGAAAACGATCTACGAAAACTCCCTATTGATGTTGCGGAGGAACTGTGACGGTGTGAGATTCGTGAGCGTGCGAAAGAGCATCGGTAATAACAGCTGCATCGGTAATGACAGCAGCTGGAACGTGGCGGGGTTGTTTAGCGGAGTGAACCATCCAGGAAGAAACATCTCTAAAAATATTCAGAGGGGAAATAATGTAGTCGTGCGGCTGAGACGTGCATGCCAAATTAAACTCCGAAACAACATCTATCTTTGACCCCGGACAATTCATATACGTGATTGTTCAGCGAAATGTCCTAGCTTTAAACATGCAGCGCTTACGTAGCCGAACTTCGCCTATCATCTGCGTTTTCTCCGTGTAAATGTATTATTGTATTCTCAGTCTTTATATTCACATTAACTAATCGTTCCGACTTCAAGGAAAAGCAGTACATACCCTTTTCGAATCGTTGTGCCGATGAACTTGATTTTGGTCGTCTTCAGTCACCTGGGCAAATGCACCGCAGCAAGCTAGAATAGTCGCAACTATGGAGACCAATACAAACATCTTTCTTGTAAAAGTTGGGCTCAACAAATGATTAAGAAATCGAAAATATTTTTTAATATATAAATATATATATATAGCTCTCTCTCTCTCTCTTTCTCTCTTTACCTTCCCCTAACTTTGACGTAATAAATTTAATAATCACTCTTTCCTCCGGAAAACACGAACTCTCTCCGGAAAACACAAAAAAAGGTCATTCATAAAGGGCGAGGCTCACAAGAATGCCTTACAAGCATCAAACATGAACTTTGGCCAGCTTACGTCGCTAAAAAAAAAAAAAAAAAGCAACAAAAAAGTGATTGTGTTTTTACGGTGGCTTACCGCAGGCTACGTCGAAATGCGATATGCTGCTTGATTTCTATCAAAGCAATATTTCTCTATACGGGTAGGAATTGAGGGGGAGGAGGAGACGTCGGAACACAGTCCTCTGACTGGAATGGTTAGTGGGTAGAAGCGAAGCTCGCCGTCTTTGTCTCTACGTGGCTCTTGGAACGTGTTCGATTGCCGGACGTTCTGCGTTCCGCGTTCGCGTTCGAAGAGTGAAGAGAGACAAAGGGCAGCGGGGCTTCACGTTTCACCACTAATCATTCCAACCAGAGCTCGGTGTTCCGACATGGTTTTCAAATTCGACGAGAAAAGAAGCGGTAGCGGGAGGAACGGAAGGAGCGCGAGCGGACATTCCTTCGCTCGGGAGAAGTGTGTTTCGGCGTCTCGCCGCAGCGGGGCGCCCGTCACGTGGCTCTCCTCTCATCCGTTGTCTGCCGCTCTAGCTTTTCAATTTCAGCGGCCGCGTCTCGTGGCGATCTGCCAAGCTTTGTCAGCATATAGGAGGATATGGTATTCGAAGGTGGGGTAGCCTCGTGCTGGAGTCTGAGACTCCTCCCTGCCGTTGTCATCCTGTCGGTGACTGTATATCCAAACGCCACTCTCTCTCTCCTCCGGCGCCTCCTTGGAACGTCAAGCACAGCCATACTCAGCACGTCACCGCTTCAGTTCAGCTGTCTTTTCTTCTGTCTGCTTCACGATGCCTCTTTTGAGGCATTGTGAGGAAGACTGTGGCATATCCAGTGAGCTCCTCGACCTGCAACCTGCACATACGCGGGATATAGTTTCTTGTTACAGATGAGCATTTTCCGAAGGGGGGGGGGGGGGGGGGGAGGAGGAGGAGGAAGGGATCTCCTTTCCCCCCCCCCCCTTTTTTTTTCCAGATTTTGTTGCACTTAAAAGTAACTACAGCATGTTTAGGGTCCTTCGTATTCGGGTTTTATACTTTTCGAAAAATCGGGGGTAAAAATGGGGCGCTTTGATCCAAGATGGTAATCGGGGAGAAATCGGGTTTGTTAACATTACTGAGCTACTCATCGCAGATTTCTCTCTATCTATCTGTCCTCTAATGTAGGAGGCGGGGGAAAAAAAAAAGGGGGGGGGGGGGGGGGGGGGGTTCCCTGGCCTCGTTCTAACGTCTTTCAATTCAGGTTCACCGCTAAATTTAGCGGAAATATTTACGTCACGTGACTTAAGCTACAATTCAGTTTCTCCGTTAAATTTCGCGGAACATTTGACGTCAGGTGTCCTTTGCACCAATACAGTTTTTCCGCTAAATTTAGCGGAAAAATTGACTTCACGTGACCTATGCACCAATTCAGTTTCCTTGAGGTCGTCCTCGACGTCGCCCTCGACGTCGTCCATGGCCTCGTAACAAAAGTAGGAGGACAGGACGTGACTGCGGCCGAGTGGGTTTTCGTGTCTCAGCTCGGAGCGTGGAGCGAAAGCTTGCTCTGGGAACCTCCTGGGTTCGAACTCCCCCGCCCCAGCCCCCGCCCCCGCTTGCTTCGATCTGGATGAGTTTCGTACCGGCACGCGTTCGTGTAATCAATATACTGCCTGATGCACGTTAAAAACCCCAAGTTAGCGGCTGTTCTGCACTGGCTAAATTTCTCATCTATAGCGAAGAGACCGGTCACCCGTTGAGGCTTTCCAACATCGAGGCTGTATAAACATACAAAGCAAGACAATTTTAACGCATATATATTGCTAATATGTGGCGGCGTGCGCGAACTACAGGGGGCGCTTCTCTAGCTATCATCATCATCGTTTCTGACGTCAGCGGTAGGACAGGCTGGGTCAGACCGCGCAGATCTTGGATCTCTTGGCTCGTCAACTCGCTTCATACGCTGTTTGGGTATGGTGCCTGGATCGCGTCTCTGACTGGTGTGTTTAGCGTCCTATCCCGCCCATACATCAAAAGTGGTCCCCAAGTGGCAACAAATGACGTCACAGAAACCGGAGTGTCATGCTGTTGCCTGTCGCGATCCAGGCGGTTGGGCGTAGAAATGCTGGCAAAAAGCACGAGCGAACGCGAGTGTCGCCGTCGTCACTGCGTCCCAGGCGTCCCAGCTTCCGGCTGTTCTACCTTCCGTGGACTGTCACAGTGGAGAGCGACCAACGAGGTAGAGGGCCTTAGAGTGATAAACTAGTATACCGTTCATCAGGCAAAAGTGACCCCCGATTGGCCGCCGCCATGTTGTACAATTTTGACCACTAGACACGTGACCAGGCCAAATCTATGACGTAACCAGACCAAATCTCTGGCGTCAACGAAAAGATGGCAGCGCCCAGTGCGTGTCGGAAGCGGTGTGGGCGTTGATCGGAGTGTGTGGATTTCGTGAGCGGAATTCGGTTTTTGAGGGTTTTGTGTGCTCTCACGCGTAGGAATAACGTGAAGTACGAGGGAATGAGGCTTTTCTTTTTTTATTTAATTCAGAGTAAGCCAGATTCGGTCCCGTGCTTCTCGTACGGGCTCGGATCACTACCTCGGACATCGCTCGGTCGTTCGAGTTTAATTAAAATATCCGCAATCGTTAACCACGGGAGCTCCTCCATAATCGCTGAGTCGAAGGATACGTCGAACCCATCCGGAACGCGGAGTCTAAAGGTATGTAGGACGTAACCAGAACGCGGAGTTCTAACGGTACGGCGGACGTGCCCGGGCAATTTTCTTAGCTCGACCGTCAAGATTCGCATTTGAAGCAGCGAGTGAAGTGTTGAAATCCGAACTGCTCGGTGCTGAGCTAACTACGGACCACTTCATTATGTGATCCGTAGTGACGTGAAAAAGACCGACGGCGGTCACTCCGGGGGACGGCGGCTCCCGGCCGCCTGCCGGGTGCCTTCTGTGAAGGGGCGACAGTCGTGTAAGCAGTACTGTACCAGCTTCTCTTATAGTTATGTTGTTCTCAAGCAGCTTCCCGATCACTAAACCCCGGAAACGCGTGCCGAAATTTCAAAAGGTGTCTGCCAACCTGGAAAGCCTTGAACTCCCAGGGAATTTCGGATCATCTAGGAAAGTCAGGGAATCATTCAAAAAGTGGGCTAAATAAGGGAAGACGACTAGTGAAAGCGGCATGGCGGTTGCTCGTCGGCACGGCCATGCTGAATGACATTGCCGAAATGTCATCCTTCGACTCAAAAACTCAAGGAATTTGATCAAAATAGTCAAGGAAAAACTTGAAAAAGTCGGGAAATTTGAAATCAGTAGTTTGTTAGACACAATGTTTGATTTTCTTGGCACTCCACGCGTTTTTACACACGACAGGCACACACCCGTGTATCACACGGCAGCCAGGCCAAGCGGCTGCCAGCCCCTTGTGCAAGGTCGATAAGACGCAAGCGTGGAACGCTTTCGGACTGCTGTAAATACACCAGCGGGAGCGTCCGGCCGCAGTCCGACTGCCCACGCTAGGACACCCGACACAGACTCCGCGTCCTGGGTACGTCTGACGTATCTTTAGATTTTGCATCCTAGGTACGTCAGACCTATCTTTGGACACAGCGCCTGATAATAGTAGTGAATAGGGTCACGTTCAGTGCGCAAGTCACTTTATTACACTCTGAGAGCGGAATTCCATTCCCGTTGCGCAGGTAGTTCCCGAGCTAGGCATGCACTTGAAGACTATATTTCACTCTTTCATAAAGCAAGCTTTGCGGGACCCCTCCGCCCTTGTGCACCCATTCGCAGGTCGTGTCGCCTTTCCTCGCGTAACTCCCGCAGGTTCAGTGAGTTGCCGAGCCACTGCAGCCCTGGCGTCGCTCGGTACATACAAGAGGCGGCTCACGTCGGTCGTCCAGCAGCGTACTGGAGGGACGCAAAGCTAGCAGCCTCCTTGGTGCACGCAAGACGAGGCTGAGCAGAGCTCCAAGCTCTTCTCACGCACATGTGCACTCCAATGAGACCGGTGTCGTACCCCGATTCCTAGAGATGTGGTCGCACTGGCAGTCTTGTTGGTCCCTGGGGGCCGTCGAGGAGTGCCAGAAAGCAAAATTCCATCCTTCTTGCGCAGGTAGTTCCCCAGCTAGTCACTTCCTTGACGACGTCGCACCCTCTCTGGAAGCAAGCTTCGGGATGCTCTTGTGCACCCATTTGCAGGTCGTGTCGCCTTTGCTCACGTAACTCCCGCAGGTCCAGCGAGTTGCCGAGCCGCTGTAGCCCCGGCGTCGCTGGTCGTGCATCCTGGTCCTGGTCGTGCATCAACCACCGCTGCCCATTTCCGCTGAGTGCTTGGGTGTGGTAGCTTGACGTGCTTTCGCAGAAAGCTGTATGCCTTTGCCGAGTAAAAATGGAGCGCGAGGGCAAACTTGCGCACATCCTCTGTACATGCGTTTTTGTTGCGCCTGACTCTTTTTAAGACGAGGTTGCGCATTGTGTTGGTGAATGCATTGTCAAGTATGTCAACTGCTGGCTTAGGAAGTCGTTTCCTCAGTTCACGGAGCAGCGTGTTCAGCTTCCTAATCCTGGCCGTCTTCCGATTGATCTTCTTCTTTGCCTGTTTCAACAGTTTCCTCGCCTTCTGCAGCTTTTGCCTACTCGTGGGCAGGACCCTGTGCAGTCGTGGTGACACAGCTGCGTACGAGTGGTCACCGAAGGAAGTGTTGCGTCGCTTGAACACAGCTTCAGGGGGAGTCTCTGACGTCGTAGCCTGAGAGGGGGAAGTAACCAGCTTTAC